TGGAGTACTTTGCATTTGTCCTCCTTACCTCAGACCTTTTCTCTGTTTGTCCAGATAATTTTGACCCTATCCTCCAAAGCATTTGGAACTTGATCCCAGCTTGGAATCATCTGCAAACTTAATCATCGTACTCTCTATCCCATCATCTAAATCACTGATGAAGATATTGAACAGAATGGGTCCCAAAACAGACCCCTGCAGAACCCCCACTTGTTATGCCCTTCCAGCATGATCGTGAACTGTTAGCAACTACTCTCTGAGAATGGTTATCCAGCCAGTTACGTACCCACCTTATAGTAGCCTTAATCCCTTTGAGTAATGATACATTTCGGAAGAGTAGGTCTCTTTTCTCCCCCACCCTATTAGTGCATAGTATCAGTGTTGATAAGCAACATACCACTACTTATTTTGTTATTAATCAACAGAATCAACTCAAAAACTTGAATGTCTCAAACACTCACCCTTTATGTAAAGATAAGTGTGGAATGCTAATAAATCATTTTCTTGACATCAGAATTATTTATGCCAACAGAGGAAACAAGCTGAAAAATATTTATGCATTGACAAGAATAGATTATACTTGCCTTTACTACATGTTTAATTGAACCAATCACTGTAGGCTTAGCAGATTTTTCTTCATCATTTTCTTCAGAAGTATTTTCATCAAAAATATTAGCAAGTTCCAGTTCTCCCTCCTCCAGTGGGATAGAGGGTCCTTCAAAATTTGGCTTCTCGTAGAGAATCCAGCTTAAAAAAAACCAACATTTTCTCCTTCATACTTTCCATGAAATTTTAACAAATGATGATATTCAGCTACTGAACTTGAAGAAGGGAGAAGCAGCAAAGAAGTGGGGAAATGTGAATAGTCAACTAGATTAACCGACAAGTCTAGGCTTATCAGGTAGTCGACTATTTGACTTCTTACTTATATCCTTGCCTTGAACCGCCCTTCCCCCCCACAACTGCCTACAATTAATTCCTTGCTACATATCATTTAGCTTCAGAGGAGCTCTGATGCAGGAGTCTGCCTACAGGGACATGTAAAGAGCCTGCCTACTCTGGATCAGCAATCACATTTGCTAAAACAGTGATAGAAATGTAGCCGTGTTAGTCTGGGGTAGTTGAAGCAAAATGCAGGACAATGTAGCACTTTAAAGACTAACAAGATGGTTTATTAGATGATGAGCTTTCGTGGGCCAGACCCACTTCCTCAGATCAAATAGTGGAAGAAAGTAGTCACAGTGGGTCTGGCCCACGAAAGCTCATCATCTAATAAACCATCTTGTTAGTCTTTAAAGTGCTACATTGTCCTGCATTTTGCTTCATTTGCTAAAACAGTTGCATATATTATATAAAACCAACTTAGGCTAACAATGGGCACAGTATCAAAACGAGTTTAGAAGCCATCTACTAGCTGAGGTAGAGTCAAGCATTAGAATATTGTTTCTTGACTTTGCTTGTCTATTGCATTTTCCAAACTAAGTATGGTTACATTGACAGAGCAGAAATAATAGTGCAACGGAGTTACAAATTGGTTATGTTCCTTTTCTTCTTAACCTTGCGTGTATGAGACACACACAAAAATGCACAAGAAGAAAAATTCCCATCTTACCATCCTCTGACGACTTTAACTAAAATAATTGATGATAGCTCCCAAGAGCTGCAATCCAAAACATCACTAAAAACTTCTATCCCATTCTTCTTAGAGTTTAAGTCACTATAGATCACCATCTATATTAAAAAAATTACATAAGCATTACATTCACTACTTTTAATCCAACAGGGACCAGTAATCTATTAGAAAAGCTATAATGTCACACAACAAAAAATAAAAAATAAAAGCCATACCTTGCCAGGTCTAGGATTGATTTTATTTTGGCTATTTCCTGAAAAGGCCTGAGATAGGGAGAAAATGATACAAGTAGATATTTAATAGAGAGTAAATTGTCCATTACAAAATCATAAAGAAATTGTGTTCTCATTTGGTATCATTTAAATTGATTTTAAACCAATATTGAACTAAGTGATGAAGAATATGCAATAAAGCTGTGATTATATATTGTGTTTCTAAAAAACAGAAGAAAATGTTAACATGTTAATGTATTTATTCATATTATACTAGAACCCATGGACCAAGATCCTATCATCTTCAGAAATGGACATACATAACAAAAATACAGTTTCTGCCCTTAAAAATACCACTGATGGATACTGAGAATACAGGAAGGACTATCGCAAGGAAACAATGGCAATACTGGTGAGCCTGAAGAGGTGCATTAGTCTCAGAACACCGCTGCCTCATGATTACTCTTTTTTATAGACATCATTATGAAAATACTATGGCAGTACTGGTTTTCTAGCTTCTGATTAAATTCCAATCAGCACTTGCCCCATTTTTAAGGTAATGGTTTGTTGCTGTCCTTATATTCTTCCCTTTATGCTGCTTATTAACTTTAAATCAAGCTTAGTCAACAGAACATACAATAGGTCCAATTCATGCAAATAAAACTACTGTTGTCCCCCTCTCCTTTGGAACACAAAGTAAAAAAGGCCCTAGTCTGCAAAGGGAGATGTATGGTGTCCTATGAAATCCATGGTAGTAAATTACATGTGCCTTTTGCAGGATGAGAATCAAATGCTTGTCAAAAATATTCCATTTAACCCATGAGTAGCATAACAGACAACTATGGTAAGTAGCCATTGAAATATCTTTAATTACTGAGCTTTACAAACTATTTTTGAAACCACCACATTAGAAAAGATCAGAGGAAGTTCCTCCTCTCCTCGCCATGGACATCCAAACTACTGACACATTCCAACTAATGTTTAGTCTTGACACAGTTGACAGAAATCTCAACTCTGAGACAAAACACCCAATGTTAACAGTGCAGGACAGCACTTTCTGCTTTCTTGGGGAGAGGAGGAAGAGAAACAGCTATGAAATAGCCTTCCAAAAGTCCCAACCTACTATTTTTTAAAATAATTAAGCACTGTGATAGATACACCAAAGACAAGCAGAAAAACTATTTCGTTTTGAGAAGTAGCTTCTGGTTTCCTGCATTCTCCCTCAAATCTGTACACCATTTTGAGAAGGTCATTAAATTTGTGAGCTCACAGCTCTGCTATTCTCCTTCTTTCCCACCACCTACTGAACACACTTTGTCTTTTTCGTGCTGGTGGAAAATAAGAGGTCTGTAACAACAGAAATAGCGGTTTCTGCATACTTATTCCTAGATCAGACTATAGAAAAGTCTGTTGCACTACACGTTAAGATCAAGTCAATTTTACTGAAAGAACAAGCAGGTTTGCCCTTAAAATTAATCTTAAAAGTCAAGTTAATATTGTGTGGATGCTTCACATGAACACGTGAGGGAGGAGGGGAGAAGCAGTGAGTATTAAAAGGAAGTATATGTCTTCAAAAGTCTACAGAATTGGCCAAGAAAGTATACTACTGATTTACAAAAGTAATCAAAACAAGCTTTATTTAAAAAATGGGCAAGTGAGGATTCAAAACAGAACTAGTGTTTAATTATTAGTTACTCACTCGGGAGTTTAGACAATTTATGTATTTTACCACATGGATGAAAAAACAAATCAAATTGTGTGATCAGAACATAGCATGAAAGCCAAACAACTTTTCAAACCAGTTAAAAGAGCTGCAACACACTCACCTCCCCACCTAGCAAGCTAGAAGGGATATTTGATTCATACGGGTTAGGCTTTAACCAGCTTAAGAAATTTGTGTCAGTACTTCCATAGTTTGGCCTTTGTGAATTAAGTTCTTCTTTCACATCATCTGTTTGCAAAGATTTTTCCGTGTAACTTGGGACTTTTATACCTGAAAGAGACTGAATTGAAAAATAAAAATAAAGGATTTTTAGCAGTAGAAAGGCAGGATTTCATGTTTAATTTTCTGATTTGTTTGGTTTTATTACCTCCGAGTTTTGAGGCACGTCAAATGGTTTGGCTGCATCAAGTTGTAAAGCAGGCATCCGTGTAGAGTCCGTTGCAAAAGTCGTTGTGATGGTATTTACAGAGGTTACAGAGGGAGTAAAGATATTTTCTTTAACTGTAGGTGACAGCAAGCTTGAGAAAACTGTGCTCTTTTCCAGACGGGACCTCTTAATTTCACCATCTGTACTATCCCTGTTGTGCATTTTAAGTTGTAGCGCCGGTGCCAGATCCTGTGTTTTCCCCCTCTTTATTCCCAAACCCAATGTAAATACACTGGGATCAAATACTTTCTCTAAGTTGTCTTCATGAATTGGAGGCATTGCAAAATGGGGCGCAGGGGACTTTGGAAGCTTTGGCCTTTTCTTCTTCTGGGGTATGCAAACTGAGCTGTCTAGATTTTTGATAGTTTCAGTAAACGTTTTCATGTCAGAAGGGGAATCAGAAATATTCTCATCATTACCAGGATAAATATTCCCAGTGTTACTTGGGCTTTGCTGCATATTGATAATATTTTGCTCTAATGTCTGTATGTTTTCTACACTGCCTTTGTTACACTGCATGTTTGTATAGATTGGCTCTCCTGTTTCTGTTTTTTCCCATTCATTTTGTATCTGAGAAAGCACATTCTGCTCTGATTCTTTGGAATCTACATTAGATTTTAGGGGACTGTTTTCTTTAGAAGGAGAGGAGAGCTCAATGTTTGGCAATAATATTTTTTCTTCACTTTGGTGGTAGGATTCTAAGTTTCCATTAATTGCTCCATTAGCATCATCTATTAAAATTTCATTTTTGTTGGAGTGTTGTAAAGATGTTATAGGTAACAAACTGTCTTTTATAACTGTTGTAGAGTCTACATCAGTTTGTCTTAAAGAGCAAGCATTAGCATCTGCTTTACTTATTTGATTAAAAGGAGATCCTGCAACTTTTCCTTTTGTAAGTTCTAGTGCCTTTTCAACCTTCTCATTAACTGAAGTTCCTGCTTGAGAGCCTTCTTCAAGTTTGGTCTTTATTTCTGCTGAGATCTCTTTAGTCCGTGATGCATTTTCTGGTAACTTCTGGTGATTGTTTTGTTTATTAATTATTTTATCCATTTGTTTATATTCCTGGGGTTGTTTTCCAAATTTCAGCTTTGCTCTACCAACGAACGTATTTGATACAGTGTTATTTTTCAAAGCAGGGACATCAGTGGGTCGCTGGCACTGATTAGCATGTTTATTTTCAAACAAGGAAATTTTGTTGGCAATGCTGCTGTTAATTTTATTAACTGGTTTTTCAAGAGAATCGTGCTTACTTCCTAGGTCTGCAGGACTTTTAGGAGCTTTAAAATTCAGGTCTACATTCTTGGGCTTGGCAGGACTGCACGAAACACAGAGAAAGTTATTTTGCAATGTATTCTTAAGCAGAATCATTCTATCAATTTAAAAATAATCAAACAAAACAGAGTTTCATAATAATACCTTATTGCAATATCAATATTCGGTTAATTTTCAATATTCCAAAAAGACTTCGTAAAAAGAAAGAAATAACTCTGCTACCAAAAGTAACCCAACTCAAGTTAGGAATAAAGAATTTCACACTGTCAGTCATTTGGAGCGGCATTTGACTGATCAGATATTTTTGGACCAAGCAACCAGACAAATATTAGTCAAACTATTTGACCATTTTTGATGTTAACACGTATTTATTAGACTATTAACTAAAAGAATAAGACTATGATCTTTAATAGGCTTAGGTATATTAGCTATGCCTAATTACAAAAACCAAGTTATTTAAGCAAGTTAGTTTAATTCGGAAAAATGAGAAACGCAATGAAATAAAGTTCTAAAAAAATTTAAGACTGCAATGAAAGAGGTAGGTTGCTGACACCGACGTCCTTGCTGGAATATGTGACAATATTTGACCATGGTCAAGTAATCATTACGGATGTAAAATCCTATTTAATTGGCTAATTAAGTATACTTTAACTAATTAAATGATTAAAGGGGGGCAAATGGGGCAGCCACTCCAGCCTCTGGATCAGATCAGCCCCTGGCTGTGGAGCACCTGGGCCCACTGTGGATGGCGGCTGCTCTGGCCAGGATGCCAGAGCAGCCTCTCCTGTAGTGGGCCAAGAAGCCCCACAGGCAGGAGCAGCCACTGTCTGCAGCAGATGGGGAACTGCTGCAGCCCCACCAGCTAATCGGTTAAACCTTCACAACCCTACTAATCACAGACTTGCAGAATACTAGAACTGGAAGAGACCTAGAGAGGTCAATCCTGTGCCCACACGTCAGGACCAATCACCATTTAGATCATCCCCGATAGATGCCTATCTCAAATATCTCCAATATCATCATTGAAGAGCAGGTTAGATAGGCATCTATCGGGGATTTACATCCACAACCTCCCTAAGCAATTTATTCCAGTGCTTAACTACCCTGACAGTTCGGAAGTTTTTCCTAATGCCCAAGCTACACTTCTCTTGCTAAAGGCCATTGCTTCTTGTCCTATCATCCGATGATAAAGATGAATAATTTTTCTCTCTCCTCCTTGTAACAAACTTTTAGATATTTGAAAGCTGCTCTCGTGTCCCCTCTTTGTCTTCTCTTTTCCAAACTAAACCAACACAATTTTTTCAGTCTTCCCTTGTAGGTCATGTTCTCTAGACCTTTAATCATTTTGTTGCTCTTCTCTGGACCCTCTCCAATTTCTCCACATATTTCCTGAAATGTGGTGCCCAAAACTGGGCACAATACCCCAATTGAGGCTTAATCAGCCTAGAGTGGAGCAGAAGAATGACCTCTCGTGTCTTGCTCACAATGCTCCTGTTAGTACATCCCAGATTCAGGTTTTGCTTTTTTTTTGCAACAGTGTCACATAGTTGACTCATATTTAGTTTGTGGTTCACTATGATCCCTAAATCCCCTTCTGCCGTACTCCTCCCTACAGAGTGACTTCCCATTTTGAATGTATGAAACTGGCAAAACGGAGGAGGGTAGGAGAGAAGGCAATCCAGGCAGGGAGTTCACAGGGACCGAATGTTGGTGCCAACCTCCCGCTCCAGTAGTCCCTGACGTTGCTCCCTCCGGGGACAAGGTACCATGGGAGAGTGAGGATACTCCTAGACCAGACTATGCAACTGCTCAAGCTGCAGATGGTCTGTGAGTTTGAGATCTCTTATTTAAAGACTTCAAGTTTAAACCTGCAAGTCATCCATGTCAATGCTGCAGAGGAAGGCAAATACCCCACAGGGTCCCTGCTAATCTGACCAAAGAAAAAATTCCTTCCTTACCCAAAATATGGCAATGAGTTGGATCCTGAATATGTGGTCAAGATCCACCAGCTGGACCCCTAGAAAAGGGCTCACTGTAGTAACTGAGCCCTTTTCATCTAGTGACCCATTACTGGCCAGTGGAGATATTTAATACTAGCGGAGTCTCATCATACTATTTATCAAGCTCAGGTCTTGAAGCCAGTAAGGTTTTTGCCCCCCCGCTGCTTCCTTTGGAAGGCTCTTCAGAACTTCACTCTGATGGTTAGAAACCTTCATCTAATATGATAACCAGTTTACATCTATTAATTCCTGTGTCCACCCTGGCAATGAAGAACTTCATCCCTCTGATGTATTTGTATTTCCACTCAGCTTTCTTTTGCTTGGGCTCTTTGAGTCTCCCTTCATAAAGATTTCCATTCCTCAGATCATCCTAGTTGAACATTAGACCAGCAGAAAAAATAAAATATTAGAACTTAAGGACAATTCTAACTGACCCCTAGTCAGGTTGTATTTCAGCAACAACTGAAACCACTTGGAGCTGGTTTATGCTTACAGCACTCCAGTGGCACAGCTGTAGCACTTGGCACAAATGCCACCTATGTTGACAGGAGAGCTTCTTCCGCCAGCGTAGGAAGTCCACCACTGAGAGGTCACAGCAATTTAAATGGTAGAAGCAGTTCCATAGATATACAGCATGTACACTGGGGATTAGATCAGTGTGACTATGTCACTCAGGGGTATGGATGTAGTTATACCAACATTAATTCCTAAAATAGACAAACCTTGCAAAGTTTAAAAAAAAAAAAAAAAAAAAAAGAAACAGAAAACAACTCCCCGTATATTTCCAGGAAGGTAACGGAACAAGGAAGAAAACAGCTTCATAGGCAAGATTCTAAAGGTACTTAAGACAGGTCTACATTGCAATTAAAAACCTGATGCTGTCCCATGCTGGCTGCCTCGGTCTGTGGATATGCCTAATTGCAGTGTAGACTTGTGGGCTCAGGACGCAGCCCGAATTCTAGACCGCTCCTATCTCACAGGATCGTATAAGATCAGACTTGAGAACAGCAATGAAAAAACCCACAGCTCAAGCTCCCTGGCATGGGTGTCCACTTGCAATATAGATACACCTTACCCCTTGGAACTGTAGGAAGACTAATTTAAAGGTATCTATCTTCCATGTCTCCCTCGCCTGGCCAATAGTCCACCCCACACTTCAGGCACTTCTAGTGTAGTTTTCTTAATAAGATCCTTCTTTTCCTCTCTTACATGCTTTGATGAGCACTCTATTTTGACATTTAAATTATTATGAGCACATATGAGTTAAGGATGTTAAATTGTGGTTATCTAGTCAATAGGACCAATCTGCAGATCCACAGCGGGGGTATCTCCTGGAGCCACCTATGCTACAGCTCTGCATTTTTAAAGCAGTTAAGAGACACCAATCTCTTACTACATTAAAATGCAGAGGTGCAGTGTCCCGGACCAGCACGAGCAGGGACTGCTCGATCCCAGCTCGTGCCGAGTCCAGCAGCCCCTGTTCACGGCGGACAGCCCCAGCTGCTGCAAACAGAGGTTGCTTGGCAGCAGCAGCCCCTATCCATGGGAGGCCCAGCTCCCCACAGGGACCCCTGTGGACAGGGGCTGCTTGGCAGAAGCTTCCCCTATCTTTGCCCCCCCCCTCACTCCCTCTGATAAAGGCAGCCAGGGTGGTGGGTTCAAGCCCCACCAACTCTAGGAGCAGTGAGGCAGCTGTCAACAGAGTCAAAGCAAGGCCCACTCCCACCTTGGCTCCCCACCAACTCCAAAAGCACCTGGCATGCACAGCAGGTCCTTCCAGGGCTCTTGTACATTTCAAAAGCAGGGCATGCAGGACCAATGGGGGAATGCTTGAGTTCCCTGCTGGCTGTGCTCCCTGTGGTGCTTCCACTTTTGAAATGTGGTAAGAGCTTCGTGAGGCTCTTGCTACATTTCAAAGGCTGAAGAGCTACAGTGGGAACCGGTATCAGCAGGGACTGCTTCAGTCCCCACTCATGCTGTTTTTCCTCTGTGCCTCTGCCTCCTGTGCCTCAGCAGAGATGGTGCTGGGAGAAACTGGCTTTTACGGTAGCTCCCCCCAGCACAGGCTCCTGCTCCCGCCCTTGCTGCTTCTGTCTGATAGAGGCAGCAAGCAGGGGCGGGGGGAGAGAAGGGAGAGAGGATGGAAGTGACTAGTCAAGTCACTACTCGACTGTCCGAGGGGCTTATGCTTATCCAATGGTCAACTCTTTGACAAGTCGCTTAAATCCCTAATCTGAGTTAGCACTCATTAAAAGAAACAATGTGCACAGCAACAGGTTAAAACCACTTTTTTCAAAGAATGAAAAGAAACTATTGAAGAAGAGGTCTCTGTGTGCACACTACATATGAACTTTTGAGGAACCATTTCCCAACAGAGGAATGCAATGAACTTTGAGAAATGACATCTTTATGCATGAGGCACCAGTATAAGTTTTACTAAAATTGGATAAACGTCTTATGTAAAAAGCAAAAAAACCAAAAAAGGACATTTTGCTCATTGTTAGTAGACTTGAAATACAGTTTCATGTGGGGAATAGCGGAAGATAGATTTTAATCTACTCTACCATGCAAACTTGCTTTCTGAACTCATTCAATCTGCCTAATTCATATAACACACTAAGCAATGCAACTCAGAATGTAATTTATTGAGCTGGCAAATTGTTTGCCAAGTGTGAGCAGGTATAAGGCTTGGGCTATACTAGGAAATTAAGTTGTCATAATTATATTGCTCAAGAGTGTGAAAAACCCACACAGCAGCTAAACTGACCTAACCTCCAGTGTAGACAACCCTAGGCTGATGGGAGAATTCTGTCAAGCTAGTTACCGCCTCTTGGGAAAGCAGACGGCCCACTGACAGAAGAGGTCCTCCCATTGGTGTGGACAGCCTCAAAGTGCTATAGCAGCTCTGCTGCTACGGTGTTTTAATTGTAGAGAAACCCCAAGATAGATACCAGTGGATTCCCCTTTAAAGTTGACACACTTGTCTGCTACCATGCAGCCACTCTAAAGAAGCAAGCCAACACCTCCTCCAATGTAGCCATAT